AGCGGTTCTCAAGATATGATTCAATAGTATTATCACCACCTAGGAAATTCGAAATGCCTTGTAGGTGATTTTGATACATGCAAAGTTTCACAGCAACAGTTATACCGTGGGGCAGTTTCCTTCTACCTTATGCACATATCCCTAGCAGCTAAGAAAACATTGTTGAAAAATCATTCTGTAATTGTTTTATATAAACAGTTTGGTTTCTTATTTCAACTATAAAACTATTATATTACAAGACCTACCTCCCAGAAAATTTTGCTCAGTGCCTCTTGCCCCACCTATTAGATAAATTCCTGAATTCAAGAATATTTAAGAACTTTAAGTGGTCTGGAAGACCCTTTCCTTGTCCAGTGACTGAGAGGAAAACTTAACCTCTATATCATTATGCTTAAGGCCCTCCTTTGGAAATTTTTAATAAGGTCCTCAAGGCTTGTACAATTTAAGAAGCACTTTTTAGAACCATGCCTAATTCCAGAGAAAACTAAATTAATTCTTACCATAAAGCCGTATGGAATCACACTCTTAGAAAACATGAATTCTTGTCAAAGCTAAGGCAGAATTCCCTGCCTTTGACGCCAGGATTCACCATAGCCGTGAAATTCCTTGGAAAAACCTCCCTGGTACTGATAACTGTAAAGCCCTAGAGTGGCTTTTAATGGAAAGCAGAGAAGCACTCGTGTCTGCCCTTAGTAGAACATGTGGACCCCAGATCACATTTTAAGGATGGAAGATAAATTAAAAGTGATCACCAGAACTCATTCGAAGCCTTGATTTTTTTCCAGGTTTTTTAAGTTGCATCTGTTAATTTAGTGTCCAAATAACAAACATACCTTGCAAAGGCCCTGAGAGGGTTAAAAATTAACAAGGACAATCTAGGCTAGAGAGGACCGTGTGCCAGAGTTGAAGAGTTAGTAATTCTCTCCTTTGCTTCGTGTGCTAAATGCTGTTGTCCTATACTTAAACTCACAGTGCCGTTTTGATATTATTGAACCATAATCTGACCTATGTCAGACTCATTATGAAGTTTTTGTGTTCGAAGCAATAACTGTCCTCTAAATTCCTGTGTGTGTGTGTGTGTGTGTGTGTGGGTGTGTGTGTTTATGTGTGCACAGCCTGTTTTCAATCCATATAGCTAAATATCTGAGGCTGGATACTTTATGAGAAGAGAGGTTCACGTAGCTCAGAGTTTTGGAGGCTGAAAGTGCGGTCAGCACGATGCCCTGGCAAGGGCCCCCTGGCAGAATCACGTGATGAGTTGTGTCATGGTTGGGCATGTGTTAGGAGGAGTGATCACGTAGTGAGACTGGAAGCCAGAGAAGAGGGTGATGAGGGTGACAGGCTTGTTCTTTTGTAACAATTCGGGGTCTTGAGAATTCACTCTGAGTCCCATGAAAACTACCTTAAACTGTTCCAAGGGCAAAAACTTCGGTGACTAAACAGTCTCCCAGTCACTCCACCAGAGGTCCTACCAAAGCTCACAGCATTTCTGTACCAGGAAGCTTTTACCATAGGAACCTATAGAGAATTAACCCCACAAACCAGAGCAGTGTGTGTGTGTGTTTCCTTCCAATCGCTTCAGTCATTTGTCACCATCAGTAGCATTCTAGTGAGGTTTATAACCAGTGCTCCAAATGAACCAGCCCCAGTTTGTATCAGCTGTTAATTTCCGTGGTGTAAATATTCTCACCATCATTCTGTCTAATTTCAGGCCATCAGACCAACATCATTTTTGGGAAAACTGGGGAAAGAAACACGCAGTTGAACCAATTGTTGCCTCTTGATGCTAGTACATCATTGATATGCAAAATATTTAGAAAGCACACAGGATTTTTAAAAATCGGAGGAAATAAGTTTATAAGGTGGCTGAAAACAAAATCAGCTTTGATATGAGATTACATTTACTTTGGTGTTTTCTTTATGTATTTTTATGAAATTGCTAAAATTTTCCATGTGGAAATTGGTGTCTTGTCCTTGCGAACATCTTTGGCTGCCTGTTTTCCTCCTAATTGTTGTAACATTATTTACTGGCCCTAATTGTGAATATTTAGGCAACATATCTTTATTTTTGGTATTACTGTAAATAACCTTATATATAATTAAATAAAGTCTTGTTTGAGTATAAATTTTCCTTTACATTTCTGG